GTGTGGCACTTTAATAAAAAAGCCTTTTGAAAATCCATATAAACTACATCAACTGCACTACCTTCATCCACTCTCTCTATTACTTCATCAAAAAATTCTATCAGATTTGTTAAACATGATTTCCTTTAACAACTCTGTGTTGGCTGTCCTTTATTAACCCATATTTTTCTAAGTGAAAATTTATTTTATCCTGGATTATCTAGAAGTTTTCCCATAACTGACATTAGGCTGACTGGCTTGTAGTTTCCAGGTTTATCCTTCTCCCCTTTTTGTACAAGCTGCACATTCTGTTTGATTATCTTCTGTATTTTGCACCTGACATTTATCGTAAGTCTCCTTTTTCTGTTTTATTTTAATCCAAATTCCCTTAGTCATCTAGGGAGCTTTGGCTGCCCTAACTTTCCGCTTTGTGGGAATGTATTTGTTTTGTACCCGAACTATCTCCTCCTTGAGGGCTTCCCATTGCTCTTTAGCTGTTTTACCTGCCTATCCTTCTTTCCAGTCCACCTTGGCTAGATCCCTTTTCAATTCACTGAAATTAGCCCTCTTTCAGTTGAGTATATTCACCTGATAAAAGATCCAATGGACACTGAGTCTTACCACAGAGGTGCAGACAGATTATGTTTGACACAAAAAATCTAATCTTTAAGTTTTCATTGGAAATTTCTTAGTTTTCAATAAATTATGAAATATTAGCTATAATCCAAATGAATCATTCCCTCAATCTTCAACAAAGTAGTTTGTGAAGATTAAGTCTTCAGTCTTCAAATAGGTTTTGCCGATGTACCAAACTTCAAAGACTTAAGTACAACAGGGAAAATAGGAAAGGAGGCAATTTAGCCCAACCATTCAAACCTGTTCCATCTATTTATTAGTTCTTGGCAGATCTTTTAATCCCTGTTCCACGTCACTGTACCCCTTAATATCACAAAATTTGTCTCTGGAGCAAAACCAATTGACTGTCTGATTTTTATGGGGTAAAATTCCATCTTGGTCCAGATTCATGGAATTCCAGAGAGTTGGGGCAGAATGTCTGAAAGCCTAGTGACTGACAGTAAGGCAGAGAGAGCGAGTGGAGACATGAAGCATGCTGGAGTTTGCTGAGCGAAGCAAACAACTGGAGTAATAGTGACACAGGTGATCTCAGTGAGAGGATGGAGCGAGGCCATGGAGTTTTTAAAAGTGATGATGAGGATATTGAGTTTGATCTTCTAGGGGATGGGGAGCCTCTGGTACTGTTCCACCCCTTTAAAAACCACTGTCATCATTCCTATCCTTAAAGGATCCTCCCTGGACCATTCAATCCTCCTCCACCGCCTCTCCTCCCACCTCAACCTTCAAGGTTCTGTCCTTGACTGGTTCAGGTCCTACCTTTCACACCGCCTCCACTTCGTCGCAGCAAACAGCTTTTCCTCCAGCCCCCACACGGTCTCGTGTGGTGTTCCTCAGTGCTCTGTCCTCGGTACCCCCCTCTTTATCCTCTACATGCTCCCCCTTGGTGACATCATCCGCAGACATGGGGTAAATTTCCACATGTATGTGGATCACCCAACTCTTATCTCTCTGCCTCCACCCTCAACTCCAGGACTACTGGCGTCTTGACAGACTGCCTGATCGATGTGAAGTCCTGGACGAGGGACAACTTTCTCCAACTCAACGTTAGCAAGACCAAGGCCCTCCTGATTGGCTCGCGCCAGCACCTCCGCACCTCGGGCACTGGAAGGATCAGCATCCACAGCTGCACATTCAACCTCACTAAGCCAGTCAGGAACCTGGGGGTCTTATTTGGTCCTTTCTCCCACACATTTGCGCCATGATCGGCACTGCCTACCACCACCTCCGCAACATTGCCAGACTCCACCACTGCCTCACCCCTCAGGCTGCCAAAACCCTCACCCACGCATTTGTCACATCAAGGCTCGATTACAGGAACTCCCTCCTCAGCGGCCTTCCCAACTCTTCCCATCACAGGCTGCAGATCATCCAAAACTCTGCAGCTCGTGTACTCTCGCACACCAGGCTCCGCGACCCCATCACTCCCACCCTCGCCCGACTCCACTTGCTCCGCATCCCTCAGAGGATCGAATTCAAGATCCTCTTCCTCATTTTAAAGGCCATCCATGGCCTTGCCCCCTCCTACCTCTCTGACCTGCTGACTCCCTACCAACCTGGTCGCTCCCTCCGTTCAGCGGCTCCGGTCTGCTCCATATCTCCCACCCGACCCGCCCTACCATCGGTGGCCGGGCTTTCAGCCTCTCTGCCCCCATACTCTGGAACTCCATCCCACGGTCCCTTCACCTCGCTTCCTCCCTTGCATCCTTCAAGGCCGGTCTCAAGATCCTTCTCTTCGATTGTTCCTTTGGTTGCCCTCCCACCTCTCTGCCTTCCCTCACCCCTACACGTCTCCTTCCCCCATGCTCGGGCCCCGACACCTGACTGTTCAGCGCTTTGGGACGTCCTCCCGACGTGAAAGGCGCTCAATAAATGTAATTTTGCTACTGTTGTTGTTCTCTACTCTCTAACTAACACCCCATCTCCAACCTCCCCTTCTTCTCCAAGGTCCTGGAATGAGTTGTTGCTTCTCAGCTCTGCTCCTTCCTCTACCACCACTCCTTTCTCGAATCTCTCCAATCAGGCTTCCATGCTGCCCACAGCACAGAAATTGCCCTGGTTAAAGTGATAAATGACATTCTATCCATCTGCCTCCTCATCCTCCTTGACTTACTTGATATTTTTGACACTGTCGACCACTCTATCCTCATCCACCACCTCTCCTCTCACCTCAACCTCCATGGCGCTGTCCTTGATTGGTTCAGATCGTACTTCTAACACCGCCTGCACTTCATCTCCTCAAGTGGCTTCTCGCGCCATGACCTGTTCTGCCTTCCCCACCTCTGCAACGTCGCCCGGCTCTGATACTGCCTCACACCGCAGGCTACTGAAATCCTCATTCATGCCTCACTACATCAACAACAACAAGATTCCATTTATAGAGTGCCTTTCACGTCGGGAGGACGTCCCAAGGCACTGTACAGTTGGGTCAGAACCAGAGCCGGGGGGAAATGATCAGGGTGAGGGGAGGGAAGGGAGGGAGCGAGGAGGGGTTAGAGAGTCGAGAGACGAGGTGAAGGCACGGTTGAAGAGAAAGGTCTTGAGACCGGCCTTGAAGGAGGAAAGGGAGGAGGCGGCGAAGGCTCTGGGGGATAGAGTTCCAGAGCCTCGGGGCTGAGAGGCTGAAGGCCCGGCCACCGATGGTAGGGCGGTTGGGGTGGGGGATGTGGAATAGACCGGAGCCAGAGGAATGGAGGGTACGGGCAGGTAGATAGGGGGATAGTAGATCAGAGAGACAGGAGGGAGGCTCGAGGCTCGACTATGCAAATTCACTGCTTGTCGGCCTCCCCAACTCCTCCCCCCATAGGCTGCAGATCATCCACTCCACTGGCTTCCCATCACACAGAGGATACAATTCAAGATCCTGGTCCTCACCTTCAAAGCCCTCCATGGTCTTGCTCCTCCCAACCTCTCCGACTTCCGAACCCCCTACCATCCTGTTCGCTCCCTCCACTCAGCGGGCTCCGGCCTGCTTCACATCCCCCGCTTTGCTCACCCTACTATTGGCGGCAGGCCTTCCGCCACTCTGCACCCACCCTCTGGAACTCCATCCCGCAGTGCCTCCATCTCGCACCCTCCCTCACCACCTTCAAGACCCACCTCAAGACACTCCTCTTCGAACATGCTTTCGATCTCCCTGCTTCCCCCCCTGCCCTCCCCCACCCCAACCCTCAGCTTTGGAAGGGGAGGAGCTGGAGGGAAAAAGTATCAGTGTGATACATTGGAAAGGAGAGGAATTAGGAAAATATAAAAGGAGTTCGCTGAACTCAGGGTCACTCTTCGCCTTTAGTATCATCAAGGAGGTATGTACCTGAGCTGAGAGCCTTGTCTCCAGGTCAAGACTTTTTTTCTTTGTCTAACCTTGGGTAAAGCTCTGAGTGTCATAGTTACAGTTTCAGGGTTTTTCTATTTCTTAACGTTGCGATTGAAGGAGGGAGGAAGGAAACACAAGCAGGTTATTGCTGAACTCAACTGTTTTGTAGTGCGAAGGGCACTGATGAAAGCATCCCTTTGTTGTGCAGTTGAGTCCTGTAGCTCAGTGGTTAGAGCACTCACTTTGCAAGTGAGAGACCTGAGTTCATTTCCAGGCAGAGGGCGAAACCTTGGGCAAGTTTCCTTACTCCACACAGAGCCTAATAATAATCCCTCCAAAAAAAAACAATAATAAATTGGTCATTTTCAATCCATGACTGTTTGTGGGACACTGCTGCCGCATTCGCCCACAAATATAGTCAATTCACTTTACAGTATATTCTGTGAAGCGCTTTGGGACGTCTAGAGGATGTGAAAAGCGCTATATCAAATGCAAGGATTATTATTATTATAAAGCATTGTGATTAGCTGTCGTCATGTGTATATTCTCATTAGTGGAGTTTCACTCAGAGAGGAATCTTGCACGATACAGAGAAAGGACTGATACAGAGGCCACCTAGTACACCAAGCGCTTTGTCATAACGTGGGCATACAATTAGGGGTGAAAACCATTGCAAACGTCCAGCTGAAATTATGGCTGCATTTAAGAATTTGCCAAATTCTGGATCCTAAGAAAACTGAGTAAATCAAGACATAGGTGGAATTTCTGCTGTATATGTTGCCTGAAAGGATACCACCCGATTTACAGCTGTTCATAAAGCAGCTTCTAGGGGATCATCCATGTCCTAAAAAAGCAAAAGTAGGCACGTGGCTCTCAAAATTAATTCAATAATTAATTCAGGGATTTCAAAATGTCTGCAGTACCGCTGTACGCCTTCTGGTGGCACTACTGAGCTGCTAAAGATTGCACTTGTGCTTCTGAGCAACGTCACCAAGTGAATATTTGTGGTGCTGCAGCTCCGTCCAAGTGTTGGGAGTGCAAAGACAAAGCTTTAGTCCACAAAAAAAGTTATCAATCAAATTTGCCTCTTGTTGCTAATGTGCAGCCCTGTATTGAGTGCAGTCACTTTCTTAATGAACTCCGAATACAGAGCTTCGTCCCTCAGGTAGTTCCTGTAAATACTGTCCAGCCTAAGTGCAGATATTAACAAACCCCATTTGCTCCCCAGTTCCATCGCTGCAGCCAAAGCCATGTGGAAATATACAGCTGCATCAGGTGCATCCTGAAAACAAGGAACAGAACAATAATAATTATGATAATACTTACATTTGATAATTCCTTACCTTTCATGTCAGGAAGATATCTCAAAGCACTTCACAGGAGTTACTGTAATTTTGAAAGTGCAACAGACAATTTGGCACACAGTAAGGTCCACAGACAACAACAACAAGGCGCTATTTGTATAGCGCCTTTCACATCAGGAGGACGTCCCAAGGCGCTGGACAGTGTACAGCATTTCAGACCCGAGCTGAGGTCAGGGAGGGAGAAGAGAGGGGAGGGAAAGGGGGAGACCGATGGCATGTTCGAAGAGGAGGGTTTTGAGGCGGGACTTGAAGGAGGCTAAGGAGGGGGCGAGGCGGAGTGACTGGCAGTTGGAATTTCAGAGGTTGGGGACAGAGTGGCTGAAGGCTCTCCCACCAATGGTGGGGCGGGTGGGTCAGGGGACGTGGAGCAGGCCGGAGCCGGCTGAGCGGAGGGAGCGGGTGGGTTGGTAGTGAGTTAGGAGGTCGCAGAGGTAGGGTAGGGCGAGGCAATGGAGGGCTTTGTATGTGAGGACCAGGATCTTGAACTGGATCTTCTGATGGATAGGAAGCCAGTGGAGTCAGGCGAGAATAGGGGAGATGGGGTCACCGAGTTTGGTGTGGTGGTGGACACGATGCTGCAGAGTAGCCTTGAAGTGAACAACCAATTTTACCTGGGGAATTGTTGGCCAGGACACCTGGAGAAACTCCCTTCTTTTGCCGTGGGATCCTTCACATTAACTTGAACTACTGAAGCTTAAAACATGAGAAGGCATGGAATGAGAAATCAACCATCACAAACATAAGTTGCATTTATATAGGGCCCTTCACATGGGCTAGCAATAAATCACCATTCAGCCCTTCAAACTCATCACTTCTACAGATGCTTCCAATGTACTGAAGGGCAGCATTGTGACTGATACACCTCTTTACAAGTTGTTGAAATTGACTACAATAAATGCTTCACCTCGAGTTGGTGCAGTGTGATCTCTCCAAGCCTGCAGTAAACCCTCATATAGGGTTTACTCTCTCCAGCACAGAGCAGCGGCTGAGAGCAGAGGGACAGAGACTTGAGGTAATAATTCTCTGCCATCTTGTACTCCTTGGCTGAATAGTACACTGTGGCTAGTCGATAAAATGCAACCTGCTGCTTCAGCTGATCTCCTGATAATCAGTAAAAAAAATGCCAATTATAACAAATAATAATCCTCCATTTGATATAGCACCTGTCAGGAGAACGTTTCAAAGTACCTTACTGGATTTACAACAGCTTGTATTTATATAGTGCCCTTCACACAGGATAACATCTCAAAGCATCTTTTCAAGGCAAATGCAGCAGTCAATTTGCACATAGTAACATCCCACAAACAGCCACGAAGTGACTGAATGATTTTTATCAGGGGATTGTTAGCCAGGACACCAGGAGAAAGATAACACAAGATTGGTCAAAGACTTGAAAGGGTGGCTGAGACTAAGAAATTGGAGAGTAGCATGATGCTGTGATGGGAGAATAGTAGGATGGGTGTTTTGGAGGGATGAGATCAGATGGGCCAAAGGGCCTTCTTCATCTGAACCAATGTTGTGATCTTGTGAAGTCTTCCTGGTATGTGGAATAGAATGCATACTTTCTCCCTGCAGAAGCTCATATGTGAAATAATAATAATAATAATAATCCTTGGAAGTAATGCAGTTCTTGAGCAGACTGAAGGACACAGAGATGTGAGCAGATAGTAATTACTCACCGAAGTTCACACTGAGCCTGACAGCCGCAATCGCGCATTCCAGGGCAAGCGCCGCATGTCTCACTGCCATGTTCAACTGCGTTAATTTATTAAGAAGTCCCAGTTCTGTGTGAGGGTCTCCCACCAATCTCGCCAGAGTTATAGCCCCGTCCTGAACAGTTTACAAAGCTGCAAGTCAGTCTGGGGGTTTTCTTTCAGGGTCACATGCAAAGCTTGCCTCATAACTCAACTGTTTTATTCAGTGAAGAACTAAGCTACACAGAAGGTGCCTTCAATCCCCGCTCTGTCCTGAACTGGCCACCAAACTGATCCTCGCCTGCTGCCTGAGGACAGCATGCTGCCCAGCATTAATAAAAAATAATAATCCTTGCATTTCATATAGCGGCTTATCATGTTGTTAAGACGTCCCAAAGCGCTTCACAGAATATATTGTAAAGTAGATTGACCGTGTATTTTGTGGGCGGGCAAAACATGGCAGCCAATTGCGCACAGCGTGAACCACAAATAGTGATTTTTTTGTGAACAGTGAACCCGGAAAGCGATCCGCAAATCGACTGACAACCAGGTTCCTACTTACTGCTAAGTAAACAGAGGAATGTGGAATAAGAAAACTTTCCCGAAGTTTCGCCCTGCCGGCGTCTCAGAGCGCTTCACAGTAACGGAGCCCGGGGCCGAGCCAGGGGGAGGAGGAAGAAGGTGACCAAAGGCGCGGTGGAAAAGAAACCCAAGTCAAACCCAGGTCTCTCGCTTGTGAGGTGAATGCTCCAATGGATCAAGGGATATCGCACCACCGATTCTCTCCAAACAGAACTAAGGCCAGACTTAATGGAGCTGTGAAGACGGAGGACTTACTATCAACCTACTTCTAATGCCTCTCGCAATTTGTATGTTGCTGCATTTGTGCAGTCAGCACTTACGTTGTGACTTTCTCTCGCCTCCTGGACCAATTGCAATACACATCTCTGGCTGCCTCGAAGATTGTCATGGTAAAGCCCAGGTCCTCTGTCCTCCTGGCTGTCTGTATGGCCGCTTGTGATGTGGAGCATTTAATCAAAAGCCAGCACCAATGAAAGCCTCAGCTACATCAGCCAAACAGTCAGTGTCCCACGCTCATCAGACTGGAGTTCCCGTTCTCAGTATGAAATCTTTCCATTTCTTTCAACAACAAGAAAATTACATTTTTACAGCGCTTTTCACATTGGGAGGACGCCCCAAGGGGGTGAGGCAGAGTGACTGCGGGTTGGAGTTCCAGAGGGTGGGGGCAGATTGGCAGAAGGCCCACCTGCCAATGGTGGGGCAAGCAAGGCGGGTGTCGTGAAGAAGGCTGGAGCCCACTGAGTGGTGGGAGTGAGCAGGATGGTATGGGGTGCGGAGAGCAAGACCATGAAGGCCTTTGAAAGTGAGGACCAGGATCTTGAACTGTATCCTCTGTGTGATGGGAAGCCAGTGGAGTCGGGTGAGGATGGGGGTGATAGGGTCACGGAGCCTGGTGTGGGAGAGGACATGACCTGTAGCCTATGAAGTTGGGGAGATCGACAAACAAGGAGTTTGCATAGTCAACCTTCGATGTAATGGATGCATGTATGAGGGTTTCAGTGGCCTGCGGTGTGAGACAGTGGTGGAGCCTGGTGATGTTGAGGAGATGGGGGAAGGCAGAGCGCGTCGTGGCGCGGATGTGGGGTAGAAAGGATAGTTGAGGGTAAAACAAGACGCCAAGGTTCTGGACTGGCTTAGTAAAGTGGAGTGTGCATCCATGGATGGTGATGCTGTCGGTGCCTAAGGTGTGGAGGCGCTGACGGGAGCCAATCAGGAGGGCCTCAGTCTTGTTGACGTTCAACTGAAGAAAGTTAGCTCTCATCCAGGACTTGATGTCTGACTGACATTCTGTCACAACAGCAGTGGTCCTAGAGTCAAGGGTGGAGGCAGAGAGGTACAGTTGGATGTCATCCGCATACATGCGGAAGTTGACCCTATGTCTGTGGATGATGTCACCAAGAGGGAGCATATAAATATTGAAGAGGAGGGGACCAAGGACAGAGCCCTGAGGAATGCCACATGAGACGTTTGTGCAGCAACCGTTTGTGGAGATGAAGTGGAGGTGGAGTGAGAAGTACGATCTGAACCAGACAAGGACAGAGTCGTGAAGGTTGAGGTGAGAGGAAAGGCGGTGGATGAGGATAGAGTGGTCAACGGCGTTGAAGGCAGCAGAGATGTCAAGGAGGATGAGGAGGCAAAGGGAGCACTGGTCTCAGATAGACGGAAAGTCTTATGTCACTTTGTGGGCAGCACGGAAACTCGATTGGAGGGATTCATGAAGGCAGTGGTGGGAGAGGAAGGAGCGAAACAACAACTCGTTCCATGGCCTTCGAGAGGAAAGGGAAATTGGAGATGGGGTGGTAGTTTGAGAGCAGTGATGGGTCCAGGGTGGTTTTTTAAGGTTAGATGACATTGTTTTTAATGGGGTGGGAACAGTACCAATGAATAGGGAGAGGCTTATGATGTTTGTGAGTTGAGAGGCAAGGAAGTGGAGCTGGAAGGTAAGGAGAGGGATAGGGATGGGGTTGAGGGAGTAGGTGGTTGGTTTCATGCAGGTTATAGTGGTGGTGAGAGTGGAGTGGGAGACAGGTTTGGAGGGAGGGATGGGTAGGGGCCAGGGTGAGAGGGGGAGATGGGGAAGGGATAGTAGATGGGAGGGCAGATGCAGCGGAGCGTATCCCCTCAACAACACAACAACAACAAGATTCCATTTATAAAGCGCCTTTCACGTCAGGAGGACGTCCCAAGGCGCTGCACAGTTGGGTCATGACCCGAGCAGGGGGGAAATGGTCAGGGTGAGGGAAGGGAGGGAGCGAGGAGGGGGGAAATGGTCAGGGTGAGGGGAGGGAAGGGAGGGAGCGAGGAGGGGGAAGAGAGTCGAGAGGGGAGCTGAAGGCACGGTCAAAGAGAAAGGTTTTGAGACCGGCCTTGAAGGAGGAAAGGGAGGAAGCAAGGCGAAGGCACTGGGGGATGGAGTTCCAGAGCCTGGGGCTGAGAGGCTGAAGGCCCGACCACCGATGGTAGGGCGGTTGGGGCGGGGGACGTGGAGCAGACCAGAGCCAGAGGAACGGAGGGTACGGGCAGGTAGGTAGGGGGATAGTAGGTTGGAGAGGTAGGAGGGAGCAAGGCCGTGAATGGCCTTGTAGGTGAGGATGAGGATCTTGAAATCAATCCTCTGGGGGATGGGGAGCCAGTGGAGGCGAGCGAGGGTGGGAGTGATGTGGTCCCGAAGCCTGGTGCGGGACAGTACACGAGCTGCAGAGTTCTGAATGACCTGCAGCTTGTGGAGGGAGGTGGCGGGAAGGCCGGCGAGGAGAGAGTTCCCATAGTCCAGCCTTGAGGTGACAAAGGCGTGGACCAGGGTTTCAGCAGCGTGAGGGGTGAGGTAGTGCCGTAGTCTGGCGATGTTCCGAAGGTGATGGAAGGCGGTGCCAGTTGTAGTGCGGATGTGAGGGAGAAAGGACAGCTCAGGGTCGAACAAAATGCCGAGGTTCCTGACTGGCTTTGAGAGGTGGAGAGTGCAGCCTTGGATGCTGATCCAAGCATCAGGTGTCAGCACCTGAGGTGCGGAGGCGCTGACGCGAGCCAATCAGGAGGGCCTCGGTTTTTCGCACGTTGAGCTGAAGAAAGTTGTCTCTCGTCCAGGACTCGATGTCGGACAGGCAGGCTGTCAGGACATCGGTGGTCGTGGAGTTGAGAGTAGAGGAGGAAAGGTAGAGTTGGGTGTCATCCGCATACATGTGGAAGTTAACTCCATGTCTGCGGATGATGTCACCAAGGGGGAGCATATAGAGGGTGAAGAGGAGGGGACCGAGGACAGAGCCCTGAGGGACACCACATGAGACAGTACGGGGGGTGGAGGAGAAGCCATTCGTTGAGACAAAGTGAAGACGGTGAGAAAGGTACGACCTAAACCATTCAAGGACAGTGCCTTGAAGGTTGAGGTGGGAGGACAAGCGGTGGAGTAGGATAGCGTGGTCGACCGTATTGAATGCTGCCAATAGGTCGAGGAGGACGAGGAGACAGAGGGATTTGACCTCAACTTTGGATTTGAGAATGTGCATCATCACCTTGCAGTTGGCATTGGAGGTGAGGATGGGCGAGGTGTGAAAGGATGAGCAGAGGAGCCTGGGGTTGTCCTTGGCCTCCAAGATTGTCTTGGAGTAGAATGACGATTTAGCTAAGGCAAGAAACTCCCTGAGGCAAGGTTTCTTGTTAAGAAATCCTGTAAAGAAATATTGCAAAATAGACTCCCCGTCGACATTCAGTGGGCACCGAATGCGGCCTTTCTCGTTAAACTCTGTGCACAGTGCCTTAGCACATCCTTGCGACGTGAAAGGCGCTGTACAAATGTAATTGGTTGTTATTGTTGTGGGGCGAAGTGTAACTTTGATTGGGAACAGTTGCTATAGTTTTAAGTGCCTTTCTAAATAGTTTTCCTCACTGATCACTCCGCTCTGCAACTATCCTATACTCAGCCAGAGGACAATCACCTATCAGGTCAGGAGAATGTCTCAAAATGCTTCACAGAATTTATGGTCAAGCACGGTGACTGTATATTTGTAGGGCGATCGAGGCAGGCGATTTGCGTACAGCAGTATCTTGCAAACAGCCATGACGTGAAACTTCCCCTCTGCTCAAGGCTTATTTTTTCTGTTCAGAAACCGGAGAATGACTCGAACTGACAGCAGCTTGCCATTAGACAAGTGAGTAATGGGCTTCTCGTCAATATCAATTGTGGAAGTTTTTCCCATGAGCTGCTTAATAAACATGGAGTTCAACTCAAAGCTCTGCCGAGATTTATTGCCTCCGAGCTGGTGACTTACCTGAAGGTACAGCTCAACCAGTTCATCTTTTTGCTTCATGTGATAGATTTTTCCAGCCATTAGCCAGACTCCCGCCTCCTTCTCCTTCATTCCCAGATCAATGAAGCTCTTCAGCCTCTGCTTGGTGAAGTCTATGGATGACTTGTAAGAACTAAGGTTTCTCTCACCTTCAGTGCTTCAGCAGAGTCCAACTGCACTTATAGAATCATAGAATTATGCAGCACAGAAGGAGGCCATTCGGAGACCGAAGGAGGCTGGTACCTTACCCTAAAGACAGCCATCATCACCATCACCATTCAAAAAACCTTCTGTTGACCCATCTCTGCTCTCCAACTACTGCCCAATTTCAAACCTTCCTTTTCTATCAAAGGTTATGGAACGAGTCGTCGCTTCCCAGCTTTGCTCTTTCCTCTCCCAGCATTCCCTTCATGAACCCCTCCAATCTGGATATCATGCTGCTCACAGCATGGAGAGAGCTCTGGTCAAAGTGATAGATAACATTCTGTCCACCTGCGACCAGGGCTCTCTCTGTTTCCTAATACTTCTCGACCCCTCGGCCAATTTCAATACTGTTGACCACGTTATTCTTCTACACCGTCTCGCCTCTCACCTCCACCTCAATGGTTCACTTCTTGCCTGGTTCCAATCCTACATTTCCCACCGTCTGCACTTTGTGGCCACCAACAGCTTCTCCTCTAGTCCCCGCACTGTCACATGTGGTGACCCTCAGGGCTCTGTTCTTGGTCCCTTTCTCTTTAATCTATGAAATATATGCTCCAGCTCAGCAATGTCATCCGCACGCATGAGGTAAATTTTCACACGTATATCCATGACACCTAACTCTATCTCGCCACCTCCACGCTAGACTCCAGGACCGTTGTCTGCCTGACATCAATGCCTGAACAAGAGCCAACTTCCTTCAGCTCAATGTTGACAAGACAGAGGCACTCTTGGTTGGCACCCAGGAGCGCCTCCTCACCTCAGCCACTTTCACCATTCATGGCTGCACTCTTCACCTCATTGAGCCAATACAAAACCTCGGTGTCCTTTTAGTCCCTCAGCTATTCTTCAAACCCTACATTCATGCCGTGACCCATTCCACCTTTTCATATCTCTGCAACATTACCCAACTCCACTACTGCCTCTCACCGCAGGCCGCCAAGACCCTGATCCACACTTTCATCACGTCCCGGCTTGACTACACCAACTGCCTGCTCATTGGACTTCCCAACTCTTCCCTCCACAAGCTGCAGATTATTCAGAATCTGCAGCTCGTGTCCTCTCCCGCACCAGGCTCCGCAAACTTATCACCCCCATTCTTGCCCAGCTTCACTGGCTCCCCATTCCTCAAAAAGTTGAATCCAAAACCCTCGTTCTTACCTTCAAGGCCCTCCACGGTTTTGCTCCTCACTACCTCTCCGACCTCATAACCCCAAATCAGCCTATTCGCTCCTCCCGCTCATCGGACACCAGCCTGCTTCAGGTTCCCCACACTTCCTGCCTCACCATTGGCGGTCGGGCATTCAGCATCTCTACCCCCACACTCTGGAACTTGATTCTGCAATCCATCCACCTCACCCCTCTCTTGCCTCCTTCAAGTCCCATCTGAAGACCTTCCTTTTCGACCGTGCCTTTGGCCACCCTCCTACCCCCACTACCTTTGCCCTCCCACCCTCCTGACCCGAACTCCCAGCTCGGGTCCAAAACCCCTGATTGTCCAGCGCCCTGGGACATCTTTCCAACGTGAAGGGCACTTTACAAGTGTAATTTGTTGTTGTTGTTCACCCTATGGAAACCCCTCATAATTTTGAAAACTTCTATTACAACAACAACAAGATTCCATTTATTGAGCGCCTTTCACGTCGGGAGGACGTCCCAAGGCGCTGTACAGTTAGGTCAGGTTATTACGTCTCCCCTTAACCTTCTCTGCTTCAAGGAGAATAATCCTAGCTTCTCTAGTCTCTCCTCATAACTGAGGCATCCTCATTCCTGGTACCATCTTGGTAAATCTCCTTTGAACCTTCTCCAATGCCTTGACATCCTTCCTACAGTGTGGTGCCCAGAATTGAACACAGCTGAGGCATAACCAGTGTTTTATAAAAATACATCATAACTTCCTGACTTTTGTATTCTATGCCCCTATTTATAAAGCCTCGTATGCCATAGGCTTTTTAACAGCTTTATCTACCTGTCCTGCTACCTTCAAAGATTTACTTATAAGAACCCCCAGATCGTTCTGTTCCTTCCCCCCCCCTTTAAGATTGTACCATCAGCTTATATTGCCTCTCCTCATTCTTCCTCCCAAAATGCATATCACTTCGCATTTCTCCACATTAAACTTCATCTGCCACGTCTGCCCATTTTACCAGTATGTCTATGTCCTCTTGCAGCCTGATTCTATCCTCCTCACTGTTTACTACTTTTCTCAGTTTAGTGTCATCTGCAAACTTGGAAATTGTACTCCCTATACTCAAGTCCAAGTCATTTATGTAGATCAATAAGAGCAGTGGTTCATAATTCCAACCCCTGGGGGTCACCACTGCACACTCCTCTCCAGGCTATGACTTGTCATAGACAACCCAAATTTAGACACCACTCCCAACCCCAGCCCGGGTGCCTCCACAAACCCTACACCTACCCCACCCCTCCCCACCACCACCACCCCCTTTAACTATCTTTAAATTCCATCTTAAATCCTATCTCTTCAACCAAACAATTGTCAGCATCCAACCCAGTACATCATTCTGAGATGCTATTCTGTGTGAAGGGTTCGATGTAAACGTAAATTGTCATATTGGACTGCCCACACCCGGTCTTGGCTCAACAGTAAATGGCATGACTTGATGTTTCAGTCTATTTCTGTACTCGGTTGATCCCATTTTACAACAACAAATTACATTTATATAGCGCCTTTCACATCGGGACATGTCTCAAGAAGCTGGACTGTGAAATGTTTGCAACTGAGCTGTGGGTTGGAGTCAAAAGGTGTGGAGGTGGAGGAGGGAGAATGACCAAAATCGATCAAAAAGGAAGTTCTTGAGATGGGCCTTGAAGGAGGCTAGGGAGCGGGTGAGGTGAAGGGGCTCCAGGGTGGATTTCTAGAGAGTGGGGGCAGAGAGTCTGAAGGCCCGAATGATGATGATTGGACATGCAGGGCAGGGGGCACGGAGTAGGCCAGGGCCCACTGAGCAGAGGGAGCGGAAGGTTTGCAACGTTTTAGTAGATTGCAGAAGTAAGGAGGAGCAAGACTGTGGAGGGCTTTAAAAGTGAGGACAAGGATCTTGAACTCGATCTTCTGAGGAATGGGGAGCCAATGAATCTGGGATCTACATCCACACTCACCTCTTGGTGTGAAGACACAGGTAAAGGTGACTAAGTGTGTTGAGTATTTTTAACTCTTGCTCTTTGTCCTTCACATTGGGAACAAGTTTCAGCCAGTGCTCATAATAAACAATGCATTGTCATTTACTGGGTAAAACCATCTCATAGAAGTTGCAGAGCAGCTCAACGGCCTGGATTTGGCCTAAATAAATAAAATAATAATGATACTAATAAGACTTGCATTTGATATTGCGACTTATGACATCAGCAAATGTCAAAGTGCTTCAGAGGAATTAAATATATAATCCTTATATAGGGTGGAGGTGGGAGATAATTGAAGGAGCGGTCGAAGAGGAAGATCTTGAGATGTGCCTTGAAGAAGACAAGGGAGCAGGTGAGGCATAGGGGCTCTCGATGGAGTTCCAGAGGGTGGGGGCAGAAACATATAGCGTCAAGCACTTAACAGGTTTTCACAAAGAGTGGTGACTATGTGTTTCGTAGTCAATTTGCACACGGCAATGTCCCACAAACAGCCATGAGGTGAATGACCAATTTTATCCGGGAGTTTGTCAGGCCGGACCCGGTGGGCGGGGGTGGGTGGTGAGTGAGAAACTCGCTTCTCTATTTGAATTGTGCCCTGGGTTCTTTCATGGTCACTGGGCAGATGGAGAGAGGTGTCCAACAATAGTGAGTGTAATATGCTTGTGTATTATGGTGCCGTCCTTACAGTGAATATCATTGCTGCTCATAGCCGTCGCAAGTGCTAGCTCATAGTGGAGCCTCCCATCCTCTCTCATCCCTCTGTCTACGTGGTATTGCCCTAACCAGAGAAGAACCTGCACAAAACCCTCGTCTGAGGTGCAGTCGTCCATTTCTAAGTAGAGCTGGAGGGATTTCCTCAGGTAACGTCCGGATAATGTGAAAGATTTATAACTAAGCATCAGAGAGCCAGTGTTGGCCTGAGCCAGGGCTTGGTTTCGTTTCAGCACAGTCTCCTCTGGAATCATGAGAGCAGTGAGGCAGCTTTTCAACGCTTCCTTCAGCCGTTTTTCTTCCCTTTGAGAAATTGCCAACATGTTGTAGACTACTCCGCGCTGCTCAGTCTCGTGCGATGATTGTAAAAGGGAATTCAATATTGCTGATGCTTGGTTGGCTGTTTGTCTTCAATGTGCAGCCAAGCCAGAGAGACAGAAGTAGTGAATGTCTCCTCAGCACTGGTGGGCTGCCCTGTTTCTGAAGACTTGTTCAGGTACTGGATGGCCTCTTCGTATGAAGCATGTCATTGGTGGAAGATAGACAGAGCTAGCAACAAGCATCTCTGTGTGTTTCCGTGGATGGTCCCAGGCTCAAAGAAGCTCAAAGCTTCATGGAGATAAAGTGCAACCTATGTAAGGAGGGTGTTACAGCAAATGTTCTGTGGCTGAAACTTCGAGAGGATTTTAATGACAAAGTCAGCCTTCTGCAACGATCCATCCCGTGCTGGATTGAGCCAGTCTGACTGCAGCCAGTGCAAGACGTGGCAAGCATTTATCAGCATACAGTGCGGCCAGGAGAACATTCAATTCAATCGGGACGATTCTTCGCTGCAAACCAAATTGTTTGGAAAGGAACTGGAGGTGCTTGGCATAGGGCAGCGCTTCCTCACCCTTTCCAACTGCCAGGAAAAGCCTCACCACCAGGAAACAGATGCGGGATTCCAGGTAGCAGTCGTCGGTGAGGATAGCTTTCCCGAGGGCAATGTTGAGGATGTCCAGCTCGTTTTCTGAGCTGAACGTGTGATGTGTGATGCACAGGAGAAGGGACGTAGCCTTTTCTGCCAGCGCTTCACCCTTGTCTTTCATCTTCTGCTTCAGGTACACAGATGCCAGGTTCACGTACAACGCTGTCTGCAAGCACAGATCGAAGAATCATAGCCACCCCCAGCCATGCTCATGGCTTCCTCGAAGTAGATCCTGGCCTGAGAGTACCGCATGCTCCTGGCACAAAGTCTCCCGAACAGGAAACAGATTCTGCACAAAGCCCAAGTCATCTGGCTCCTCCTGGCCACTTCCCTGGTCAGTTTCAAATACTGCAGAACCTCTCGCTCTTTTGTTACTCCGTACAGCATGCAACTCAGGAAGGAAAAGGAATGATCGTACAAATGGTGGAAGTGTATGTTATACATTCAGGAATGATAGGATGGGGTCAAAGACCTCAGGGTCTTCCAGATTTCCTGGGTTCAGGTCTATGTAGAACTTGGGTTCACCGGCTCCATCTTCGGACTCATCCGATACAAAAAACTGGCTTCTACGAAGTTCCCCACGCTGGCGTGTCTAGCATAGCCACTCGGCAGGCTCTTTACGGATCCTGAAATAGAAAATAATATCAAATAAATATTCCTTACATTTGGTACAGCACCTTTCACATCTCAAAGCACTTCATGGGATTTACTTTAAAGTGTAGTGGCTGGCTATTTGTAGGTGAAAGTGGCAGTCAATTTGCACGCAGCAATAAAGTGAATGACGTATTTTATCTGGGAGATTATCGGCCAGGGCAGTGCTGCGGAATCTTTAACGTCCATCTGGACAGGCAAATGGGATTTTTGTTTAACGTTAGGAGAACGTCTCATGCAAAGAAACAGAGAGTGAGGATACAGCAGGTTCCAGGCTATCTGTCTAAGAAGTATGGGAAAGTAGCGTGAACTATGGGGCAGATCAGCACTAAGCAGCTTTCAATCACCATCAACAGCAATAACAAAGTCACACTGACACAGAACGCCACTATCCATTTTCTTCCTGAGATGAATACATGGGATGAGAAGGATGCTGTGAAGAGTTATATATGTGGGAGTGGGGAAGGGGGGTTATATTTTAAATACAAAAGAGAAAGCTAGATTACATTTAAATAATGAATCACCTGAGCGATACACAAAGCTGATATCATTTTTGGGGAGTTTATTCAGGAGGTCGATGTAGTATTGTTCATCGTGCTTTTCAAATACCATTAAAGAGGATTTCTGTTCATCACTCAGGAACTGGAGATTTGTTTCCCTGTAAATAAAAAGTTAGCTTCCAAGTCCACTCAAAGCCCTTGACCAATAGCCTGAAGGAAGCCCATCAGTGTGAGATGTGATCAGAGATACGGCAGCGAATGTGAGGCTTATCAGGTATTGATCTGACTCAGAGCAAACTATAATAATAATCATCCTTGCATTTGACATTGCGCCTTATCACATTGTTAAGACATCTCAAAGTGCTTCACAGGATATGCTATACAGTGGAGTGACTGTATTTTTTGGGCGAAACGCAGAAGTTAGTTTGCACACAGTAGTGTCCCACAAACAGTCGTGGATTGAGTGAACAAATTATTATTGTTATTTTTTTTAGCGGGATTATTACCCCCGGAAAGAGATCCACCAATTGACAAACAACCGGGTTCCTACTTACTGCTAGGTAAATAGAGGCATGTGAAGTAAGGAAACTTTCACAAGGGTTTGGCCTGCTCGGGAATCTATCTAGCACACGCCTAATAATAATCCCTCCAAAAACCAAAAACAATAATAAATTGGTCATTTTCAATCTACGACTGTTTGTGGGACATTGCTGTGCGCAATTGGCTGCCGCGTTTGCCCACAAATATACAGTCAATTCACTTTACAGTGTCTTCTGTGAAGCGCTTTGGGACGTCCTCCCGACCTGAAAAGCGCTATATCAAAATGCAAGGATTATTATTATTATTATTATTATATCAATCTGGGACTGGAATATTTCAGTGTGTGAATGGAAAGCTCCATTCACGGCCTTGCTCCCTCCTACCTCTCCGACCTACTATCCCCCTACTTACCTGCCCATATCCTCCGTTCCTCTGGCTGCGGTCTGCTCCACATCCCCCGCCCCAACCACCCTACCATCGGTGGCCGGGCCTTCAGCCTCTCAGCCCCTAGGCTTTGGAACTCCATTTCCCAGTGCCTTCGCCTTGTTTCCTCCCTTTCTTCCTTCAAGGCCGGTCTCAAGACCTTTCTCTTTGACCTTTCAGCTCCCCTCTCGACTCTCTATCCCCTCCTCGCACCCTCCCTTCCCTCACCCTGACCATTTCCCCCCTGCTCAGGTCCTGACCCAACTGTCCAGCGCCTTGGGACATCCTCCCGACGTGAAAGGCGCTCTATAAATGAAAACTTGTTGTAGTTGTACTCACACTGCCTTGAATTCCTCTGGAAACACGTGCTTTACTTGGACAAAGCCAGTCTCTCCAGTAGATAAGGACTTCCCCATAAACCACTTTAGGTTAGACAGGAGGAAGCCAATGATTTTGATTCTGTCCCCCTCACAGAAACACAGTTCATCTTTTTCATCTCCCTCGTAAATCATCGCTGCAAAACAGGTACCTGTACCTAGAAAACAGAGGTTACTTGTCAGGGGTCAATTCGACGATGAACAGGGGCCATGCACCCACCATAGAAAAAGAGTTTGGCCGAGGTAACTTTTCCATCCATTCACACACAAACACTTTTCCATCCATTCCATAAACCTCACTGAAACGTGTCTCTGTGCCATGTGTAAGCCATAGCAAACATGTTGGCAGGTCTCGTAGGGACATGCAAAGACTAATGGTTCCCACTTTGAATAGAAATGGATGAAACTACGAGTATGAACAAGACCATTACAGCAAGAAGGAAATAATGACTAAGTTGATCTTCAACGTCTACCTCAACAGACAAACAGCAAACTCAACAGAGGAAAGGGGGAGATTGCCTGAGAGAATGGTTCTAATAGAAAAAGGCAAAATTTCACCTATTGACACAATGATAATCCCTCCAAAACACAAAAACAATGATAAATTGGTCATTTTCAATCCACGACTGTTTGTGAGACATTGCTGTGCGCAATTGGCTGCCGTGTTTGCCCACAAATATACAATTAATTCACTTTACAGTATATTCTGTGAAGCGCTTTGTGACGTCTAGAAGACGTGAAACGCACTATATCAAATGCAAGGATTATTATTACATACTAATGGGGTGGGGAAAATGATCCTCTGTCATTTCCTTGTGTTCAGCAACACTCCCTGTACAAGTCTTCAGAAACCATCTGTGAAGAGATCCCAGAGTCATTGACCACCTGACAATATTATTTTGTCAAGTTGTGTATATAATAATAATAATCCTTGCATTTGATATAATGCCTTATCATGTCATTGAGAAGTCTCAAAGTTCTTCACAGAATATAATAGCAATCCTTGCATTTGATATAGCACCTTATAACGTCTGAGTAAGGTGGAATAACTGCATATTTTGTGGGAGAAACGTGGCAGCCAATTGCACACAGCAGTGTCCCACAAACAGTCATGGATTGAGTGACCAAATTTTATCAATTTTTTGAAGGATTATTACCCTCAGAAAGTGATTCGCTAATCGATTACCAATCAGGTTCCTACTTACTTAGTAGGCAATATTAAGCCTTTCTACCCCAGTCTGGAACTCCATCCCAGAATTCTTTCTCTCACCTCCTTCAAGGTCCATCTCAAGACCTTCCTCTTTGATTTAATCTTTGGTCATTTTCCCACCCGCATTGGCCCCAACCCCTATTGACTCCAACCCCCAGCTTGGACGCAAACCCTCGACTGTTCAGCACCTTGGGATGTCCTCCTAAGGAGTTGAGTAACGAAGTCTGTGCTTGGAGACTGCTCACTACACAAGCAGGGAGCTAATCCTATCAGAAAGTTTAATTTGTGAATTTTATTGGAAGCAATCCTCCGGATATTAATTCTTGCTGGAATTTATATGCTATCTAATTGGATTCCATATCGGAAACTATATATCAAGGTAGTGGATTTGTGAGAAGGTTGGAAATTGAAATTTGTGGTCAACTGCAAGCTGTAATTAAACACTTTTGTTTGCTGGAACATTACTGCAGGATCTTACAGTTCTGAGAGTCTTAGTTATTTCACAGTGAAATTGACATCCTAACATCCGCAGGCAGTTTTAGTGAACGCAGTCTTGCAAAGCATCCTTTGCTGTTGCTGACAACAAAAACTTTATATGATGCCCTTCACACAGGTTAGAATCTCAGCATGCTGACATTGTTGAGGATTATATGAAATCATCCAGTGATCCTCTAATTGTACCAGGGAACACACAGGTCAATGATCCCTTCTGAGTTAATAATAATCCTTGCATTTGATACAGTGCGTTATCACGTTGTTGAAATGTCTCAAAACAATTCACGGAATATACTCTAAAGTGGATTGACTGTATATTTTGCGGCAGCCAATTGCGCACAGCAGTACTGCATCACACAAACAATCATGGATTGGTTGACCAAATATTTTATTATTTTATTTTTCGAAGAGAGTATTATCCTGGAGAGCAATCTGACAATTAACTAACAACTGGGGTCCTACTTACTACTAGGTAAACAGATATGTGAAGTAAAGAAACTTGCCTAAGCTTTTGCACCACCCAGGAATGTCTATTAACAAGCCTGAAGGTCTTAGCTTAACTAGTTGTTTATTGGATATTGTCACAGCTCAACTTCCTCAGATTTTGGGAATCATCTGGAGTTTGGAGTATCTGACTGCTGCCTGCATGTTTTATCATGTTTCTTAATCCAAATTACTCTGCCCCGTTCACTGACATTCCTGACTCTGCACGAGCCAAATTGGCTGCCTCACCTTCTTGCAACAGAAGGTCCAGATATATCACGGAGAATTGGGCTTCATTCACTTCAACCTGGAGTGTCACATCTATGAGAACAACATCCAGCCAGAAAAGGCTGTCAAACAACTGGTTCTCCAAACAGCGACTGACAAAACCTGCAAGGAAAGAGTGTTGGTTGTGGAGCAATTCATCAATGGAGATCTTTGCTGTGTGTCATAACGTTTGTTTTTTGGTCAGCCAAATGTCTGACACCCATCACCATGTTTAAGAATTCTAAACCAAACTGAGAATTCCATGCCTCCCACCTACTGATGGAAATCGCAGAGATTGTTGGACGCGAATGCACACGCATCCTGCTTACCTGATTGCAGAAGGTATTGGGTGCAAGAGCCAAGGATTGAGGACCCCCAGAGTGGATGTTGGGATACTGCTGGAGTCTAACCAACTAAAACTGCATAGTTTGCTATTGATAACTCTCATAACATTTCATATAGGAAACAGATTGAACCCATAGAAATATACAACATAGAACATCAACAACAACTTTCATCCATACATGTAGTGTAACATGTCACAGAGTCAAACAAGGTAGAGGAGGATGAGCAATAGATGAATACAAAGTCCATTCAGCCCATCATGCCTCTTTGAAAGAGGATTCAGTCCCATTTACATGCCTTTTTCCCATACTGTATGCATTGTCTATGATGCCTGAACAGTGATGACAAACATGGCTGTTTATGGAACATTGCTGTGAGCAAAATTGGCTGCTGTGTTCACCTAATAAATACACATTCACTACAGTTAACAGTAAATCTTGCAAAGTACTTTGAGGCATCTTAACAGCGACAAAGCAATACCTAGAGAAAGATAATTTGAAAATTTCCAGATTTCTTGAACAGTCTTAAAGGTGAGAATGAAGAGATCATTTTCTGTGTTGATGGTGACCAGCCTCGATGAAAGTAAGAAACATAAGCAAAAGCAGTGATATAATGCACTATAACAGGATCCCAAGATTGGTTTGAACAAAGCAAATCCTTCAAGCCCATCTGATCTCATCCTTCCAGATTACCCACCCTACTGTTGTTCCATTGCGCCATCGAGTTGTTTTTTTTAAATTAGTCCATTGTCTTGGCCTTAGCTATGTTTCCTGGCAACCTGTTCCAGTCATTAATTACCCTCCGGGTAAAGTATAACTTCCTGAATGTAAAATACTGCAAATGCTGGAAATCTGAAAAAAAAACAGAAGTCACTGGGAACACTCAGCAGGTCTGGCAGCATCTAAAGAGAGAGAAAAGTGAGTTAACGTTTCAGGTCAATGAAGCGTCATCGACCTGAAACGTTAATTCACTTTCCGCTCTCCATAGATGTTGCCTGACTTGCTGAGCGTTCCCAGTAACTTCTGTTTTTATAACTTCCTGATATCGGACCTGAAGTTGTCCTTTGCAATTCTAAATATGTCCTCTTGTTCTACCTTCTCAGAACAAAAAAGCGCTCTGAGATGCTACACTGTGTGAGGGCGCACGTTGTTGTTGGTGCATCCTAAAGTAATTTTCTCAGTATAGAATCTTTTACGTCAGGAGGATGTATCAATGTGCTTCACACTGTTGGCTGGATACATGATAAGAGAGAATGTGTTTGCTCAGCACATGACTGTGGCTAAACTCTGCCATCACTCAGTAGTTTGTGGGACAAAGAGGTAACATTTGCCTGAGAAAATGTACATCAGATGTACATGAGTCTTTGCAGTTATGCAATCTGAGACATGGGAATACCAGTCATCTCTGACAACAACAACAACAACAAGATCACATTTGTATAGTGTCATTCACATCGGGAGGACAGAAAGCTTCTTTGACGTATTTTGTAATGGAAGCTAACATCAAAATACCAGAGCCACGATCCAAACATTCAAACAAAAATTTAAAATAATAATCATTTAGTCACTCAATACACGACTGTTTATGGGACACTGCTGTGTGCAATTGGTTGCCGCATTTCGCCCACAAAATATACAGTCAATTCACTTTACAGTATAATCTTTGAAGCACTTTGAGACATCTCAAAGATGTGATAATGTGATATCAAATGGAAGGATTATTATTATGAGAGCTCCTACAGCACGAGAGACTCAACATTTCTCACAGCCTTAGCCTTTCAGATCGCTAGCTTATAATTTAAAATCATGCAGGACTTGGGAAAATTCTTAAATTTTGACTTGATTTTCCTCAGATCGTAAAAGAATCTGAATTAACACAGCAACATTTGTTTTGGACACACACAGACACACAAACCATGAGCATCTTATATTAAAGAGTGCCAGAACTTCCTTGTTCTGGCCCTCCAGAATACGCAGTCTCTTCCATACGGTCTCCTGAAACTCATGATCAAAAACTCCAGACTTCTTTCTCATTACGCAATATGTCAGTGCCATGCCTGGGACTGGGGGGATAAAAGAAACACACGCTGTTGTAAAAGAAAACAGTGTACACAGTTTGCCACTACTCTCCCCAATGTCGTTCACTCCATGGCTGTTTGTGGGACACTGCCGTGCGCAACTGGCTGCCATCTTTCACCCACAAATATTAACCAAGGCCTCGGCTGCCTATTCACGTGTACATTAAAGATCCTGTGATACTAATTGAAAACAGAAGGGCGTTTCCCACCTCCTGGTGTCCTGGCAACAAACCCAAAAATAAAGTTGGTCACTCGCTCCATGGCTGTTTGTAGGACGCTGCTGTGGTAAATTGACTGCCATGTTTTGCCCACAAAATACACAGTCAATCCACTTTATCGTGCATTTTTGAGTTTTCTCAACCATGTGATAAGGCGCTATATCAAATGCAAGGATTATTATTATGCTCTGCTCCCCCTCCCCAATGCTCCCTCTCCTCCCATGTTGCCCGTCTTATAGTGCCTGATTTAGTCCCTAGATCACTGGTGTAACAAATAGGGAAATAGTGACTTGGAACTATGTCACACAAGAGCCAAGGAAACACTCTTGAAACTCAATGAGTTGGAGCTCAGGAAGTAGTCATAGAGCTTCTTTTTGCGGTTGCAGTACAGTACCTGTAGAGGATGTACTCTGGTTCAGTCCCTCAGGAACGGTCATCAGAGCAAAAATCCAGATCAGAAAAGTGGGATTCTCACTGATGCTCCAGCTTACCTACAAATAAATTTTGAGTTTTCGTTGAAAGAATAATTTCACTTGTATGCCGAAAAACACTTCAACATATTAAAATAACTTCAAAGACTTCCAAACAACAAGTTACTTTGAAGTACAGTTACCATCGCTACGAATAAAATGATAATAGTTACATTTGGTGTCATGCCTATGATGCCAAAACATCAATATAGTGGCCTTCACGCAGGAATCTTGGAGCACTGTAACTTCTGAAACATCTCAAAGAGCTTCACTTGTAATTGCTGTGAAGTGTGATAACTGTTCTCATACATGCATGAGCTCAATTCCTGCCTTGGGGGCTTGAATCCTCAACCTTCTAGCCCAAAGGTCAGAGTGCTACCAACTGAGCCAGGCTGATACCTAAACTCAGATAGATTCCATTCATAGCCTCTCCTCAGTCTGAACTCTCCTGATGATTAACAAACTGTGCAAAGGAATCACTCATATTGGGCTTCATATAAACCCATTGGATTAACATTAAGAGACTGGGTGACAGCTGAAATGAATTAAAAGTCTGCCCTCTGTTAAAGAAAGGGAACCCCCCCCCAGCATTTGACTCTCTCTGGGGAGGGAGTGCAAATTCATTTCCAAACACAGGAATTTCAATGTGTCGGTGGGAAGCATGGACCTCTCAGTCTGGTTTGGCACGGTGATGGGTATCTGCATGTGTCAGGCACTTGCCTGACTAAAAACAAAGCACTGCTTATAAAACGTAATTGTTTTGGAATAATCATTGGCCCTCCATTGGAAAAAAAGATGAAATACTTTGGGCTAGCTTCCCAATTGGAGGGTTTATGCTTGCTTCCTTCCTGCAGCTATAGTTTAATGTGACATGTTCCTTGGCCTGGACACCCAGTTTCCAATGAAGATACATTAAAGGAGCAAAAAGTATTTCAAGAATGGTCACAAAACACTACGCCCTTTGATTCGAGCTGTTTACCGAATGTATTTAATATTCTCCAAACAAATGTGCTGGCTTACCCTTTTTTCCCCCCATCTATTTATAAGGACCCAAATGGACTCATGTGGCTGATTACCTAATGGCATCTTATCTCCATGTGTAGACTCTGCAGGCCATCTCTGTAGGTCGAACCAGGAACCCGAAGAGCCGAGAGACACGAAAGGGGATTTTGTCCCTGGAAAAGACCACATTGGACAGAATAAGAAGGTGATCTGGAGCTCTCCCTCCACTGGGGCCATTGAAACCTACAAAATATCAAGGGAATATATTATTAATTGTAATATTATTTTTAAAAAAACTTTCTTTTGGTATAGCATTTTACTGTGAAGTGTAGTGACCAGCTATTTATAGCGAATGCGACAGCCAATTTGCGACCAAACAGCCTTGAAGTGAATGACCAATTTTATTTGGGGGATTGTTGGCCAGACACCAGCAGAAACTCCCTTCTCTTTGCCAATAGTGCACAATAGTACACAATAGTGAACAGACAGATGTGACCTCAGCTTAATGTCTCATCTGGCACCTCCAACAATGCAGCACCTCCCTCCCAGGAGTACACTGGAGTGTCAGGCCAAACTATGTGAAGTCAAAGTCCTGATGTGGGTTTGAACCTACAACCTACTGATTCAGAGGCAAGAGTACTACAAACTGAGTCAGGCTGACCTACACATCCTCCTGAAAGCAAACCACATGGTCTTCACATACCTTTTTTCAGCTGGAAATATGCAAAAATGATACACATTCATCTAAAGCTCTAAAACAGTTTTATGAGGGAGAGGACAAGCAAATAGAGAATACAGTATTCTCAGTTCTTCACACTAGATGATAAAAGCTTTAAAATTTTTAAATCAAAATGTGACAAGTCATAAAGAACTAAAATTTGAAAACTAAGCCACGAAAGAATTCTTAAAGTTCTCAAAAAATGGCTATTAAAAAACTATTTCCTTACGAGAAGTGAGGAAAGATATTATTTTGTAAGAAAAATGAATAATAATAATCCTTGCATTTGATATAGCACCTTTTCACGTCTTCGAGATGTCTCACAGCGCTTCACAGAATATACTGTAAAGTGGATTGATTGTGTATTTGTGGGTGAAACACAACAGCCAATTGCACACAGAAGTGTCCCACAAACAGTTGCGGATTGAGTGACCAATTTTTTTTTGGAGGGATTATTACCCCCGGAAAGTGATCTGCCAATTGACAAACAACCAGGTTCCTACTTAAACAACAAGTTATATAGCACCTCTCATGCAGGGTAGCATCCTAGAGCTCTTAACAATGGCGGAGCATGACACCGAGCTGAGGAGAGGGGGGGTGCTGACCGTAGGCATAGGAAGGTCTATAAGCGCGACCTGAAGATGGCAAAGGAAGGGACAAGTCGGAGGGATAGAGAAAGAGTGTTCCAGAGTTTCAGGACATAGGACACCAATGAATCATAGAATTATATAGCACAGAAGGAGGCCATTATAATAATAATAATAGTAATCCTTGTATTTGATATAGTGCTTTTCACGTCAGGAGGACGTCCCAAAGCGCTTCACAGAACACACTGTAAAGTGAATTGACTTTATATTTGTGGGCGAACGCGGCAGCCAATTGCGCACAGCAATGTCCCACAAACAGTCGTAGATTGAAAATGACCAATTTATTATTGTTTTGTTTTGGAGGGATTATTATTAGGCTCTGTGTGGAGTAAGGAAACTTGCCCAAGGTTTCGCCCTGCCTGGAATTGAACTCAGGTCTCTCGCTTGCAAAGCGAGTGCTCTAACCACTGAGCTACAGGACTTCACATTCTGCCCATCATGTCTGTGTCGGCTCTTTAAAAAGAGCTAACCTATTCAATCTCACTCACCACTCTCTCCTCATAGCGCTGCAAACTTGTTCTCCCCAAATAATTATCTACTTCTCTCTTAAAAGTTGTTATCAAATTGGCTTCCATTACCCTTTCAGGCAATGCATTCCAGATCTGAACAATTCTCTGTGTAAAAAAATTTCTCCTCATGTCCCCTCTGTTTCTTTTAACAACTATTTTAAATCGGTGTCCTCGGGTTACCGACCCACCCGCCAGTGGAAATAGTTTCTCCTTGTTCACCCTATTGTATCCCCTTATAATTTTGAAAACTTCCATTGAGTCTCCTCTTAACCTTCTCTGCTCCAAAGAGAATAACCCGAGCTTCTCTAGCCTCTCCTGATAATTGAAGTCCCTCATTCCTGGTAAATCTCCTTTGCAGCCTCTCCAATGCCTTGACATCCTTCCTAAAGTGTGGTGCCCAGAACTGAACACAGTCTCCAGCTGAGGCCTAACCAGTGTTTTACAAAGGTACTGGTTAGGCCTCAGGGATGAAACGGAGGGCACAAGGGACATGCAGAAGGCCAGAGCCAATCTAGCAGAGGCAGGGGTTGTGGGTTGGGGAATAAGCAAGTCAGCGAGGTAGGGCATGAAGGGATTTGAAAACGAGTGTGAGAATCTCGATCTTGAAATCAATCGTTTCGGCGATAGGGAGCCAGTGGAGCTTGGCAAGAACTGGTGTGGTGTGGGTTTGGAGTTTAGTACTGGCGAATATGTGGGCAGCGTAGTTTTGGATCAGCTGGATCCTGTCCATGGTGGAGCTGGGGAGAGGGCAAAGAGAGCATTTGAGAAGTCGAGTTTGGAGGTGACGAACACATTGACGACTATTTCGGCTGCATCTGGAGTAAGGTACGGTGGAGGCGGACAATCTGGCGGAGGTGGAGGAAGGCAGGCCTGGTCAGGGACCGGATGTGGGGAAGGAAGGACAGTTGTGTGTTGAACCTGCCACCTAGATTGCGCACTGGTTCGGTTAGTCTGAGGGATAGGCTGGGGAGTCAGAGCCACAGGATAGAAGATGTTGATGTGAGCCAATGAGCATTGCTTCCGTCTTGTTAACATTGAGTTGTAGGATGTTTTCGCTCATCCAGACCCTGATGTCCACCAGACAAGCCGAGAGAACATCAGCGAACCTGGAGTCACAGCTGGAGGAGGAGAAGTAGATTTGTGCATCATCTGCATACTGTGGAAGTTTACCCCATGTCTGCGGATGGCATCGCCAGTTAGATGAGGAAGAGGAGGAGGCCAAGGTTGGAGCACTGGGGTACACCATAAGTGACCACAGAGAGAGAGGATGTCATTAGAGACCTTGACAAGTGCATCTCTGTGCTGTGAGCAGGGCGGAAACCAAACCAAAGCTCTCTCTGTTTTTGTTTCTGGTTAGCGACAATGTGTTCCAGAGCTTTGGCAAGGAAGGGCAGGCTGGAAATGGGTTGGTAATTTGTGAGGTTGAGGGGTCAAGGATGGGCTTCTTGAGGAGGGGATGACAGCGGTTTTAAGCGGGAGAGGAACAGAACCTGAGGAGAGCGACTGGTTGACTGTGTCAGCCAGCAGTGAGGAGAGAAGGCACGAGTTGGGTAACCAGCAGCTGGGTGGGGAGGAGTTCGAGATAGCAGATGGTGAGCTTCATCTGGGAGATGGTGGTTGAGAAGTAGGTGGGAGTAATCGGGGCAAAAGGAGTGAGGGAGTAGTGGTAGGTGCCATGTTGGAAGGAGAGGGTGGTGTTGACAGTCTGGGGGGCTGTGGAAGGGTCATAGGGGAGGAGGATGCAGCCAAGCGGATGTTTTTGATCTTTGACATGAAGAAGTCTAGGCCTTCTTTGCACTTGGCATTAGAGATGAGAATGGAGGCAGCTTGGGGGGGGGAGGGGGGAGTGTGAACGGTGGAGGTGATGGATGGTGGTGAACAGTCTTTTGGGTTATTTTGGAGTAAAAGGTAGTTTTGGCTGCGAGAGGGAGAGGCAATAGTTGCAGAGACCCTCGCGCCACAGCTGGCGGTGGATTGTGAGGTTGGATTTCTGCCATCTGCGCTCGAGCGTCCGGGTTTCAATTTTGAGAGAGTGGAGGTGACTGTAATACCAGAGGGAATGGGTCGATTTGGAGACAGCCCTGGATTTCAGGGAGCAAACAATTTGAGGGTTTCAAAGAGGCGGTTGTTTAGCAGCTTGATGGCTGCATCAGGATCCCTGTAGGTGGAAGGCCAGAGAGAGAAGAGATCCAAGCAAGAGAGGGTGTTCATGAGGGGCTCAGGTGGAAGGTTTTTCCAAGGTCCAAAAAGACGGTGGAGTATTTGGAAGA